AAGAAAGGAAGAAAGGAAGAAAGGAAGGAAGAAAGGAAGAAAGGAAGAAAGGAAGAAAGAAAGGAAGAAAGAAAGGAAGAAAGAAAGGAAGAAAGGAAGAAAGGAAGAAAGAAAGAAAGAAAGAAAGAAAAAGAAAGAAAATAAAGCTGTCTAGCTGTCTCTTGCCAATGCAAACAGTGGTACCAGTCCAGCAAAGACCCATCGATGCACATGAATTCCTCCCAATTTTGCATCTGTGACTAGCCCAGGACTGGTCTCCAGCACTGATGGCTACAAGGGCTGACCCAAATCCCACACCTATTTCCCCGCAGGAGACACTGTTGGGCTCAAATGTGTTCACTCAGACCAGCCCCTCCTGCCCTAATGTGCCTCCTTTGCTGGGTTATTTCATAAGCACAAAAATTTAGTCATACACTGTTTATTCACACATGGAAATCGATTTCCCAGTGGTCCAAAAGATCAGTTTCTAGGACCCAGTTAATGCACTGTACGATGAAAACCTCATTAAAAGCTCTTGCCTTTCAGATTTGAAGCCTATTTTTGCCTTTCAATCCTGAAACCCCAGTAGAGCATTAGCACTGTTTTGGTTCTTTGGGGGCGTTTTGGCTGTTTTCTGTGGCTGCCCTTGTGTGTTTAGCCTGCACTTCAGAGAAATGATTCCTGCAGCAAAGGGAGGTTCTTTCTGCATTATTCACTGGGTTTGGATTATCTGTCCCTCCCTTTTTCTAGGTGTTTTCCCAACTTGTGGGTGTTTCAAACAAGAGCTGCATTTTGTCTTTTGTGCCAAAATCCAGGATTCCTCTTCGACCTCTTTCACTGTTGGTAAAATGGATATCAGAAGTGATTCAGGCATGCCCAACAGACTAATTTAATTCATAAGGATGCTGGTAGCCCTATCTGCTTCCCAGTGGAAAGAGAAGTTTTCCAGTGGCATCTGTAGGAGCTGCATGAGGCTGCTGGAGTTACAGCTAAAGGCTGCAGTGTGTGTGACAGAAGAGACCCTGCAAAAGTCATTTGGAGCAAATTTCAGACCTGTGGAAGCCAAAGAGAGAATGAAACCATCAGGAAAGATGCCACCTATCAGCAAACTCTGCTTGAGGCAGAGTACCTGATTTCTAGAAAGCCAGCTCAGGCCTTTGTATTTGGAAGCAAATCCACGTAAGGAACAGCTTTACTGAGCATGGTTGGAGGGAGCTGTAGGTGGTCTGGAAGGATCTCAGCCCCTCTTGACTGTTGATGTATTAATTAATAGCACTGTTGCTACCACCCTCACTTTCCCTCCTCAAAGGAGAGGAGGAAGAGTGTGGAGTGGACACAAGTCCCAGGGGCTGCAGCCTGGTGATTTTGTGGCCGTGGACAGACAGACAGCACTTGCACTTCCAGCCCAGGAGCACAAATCACTCCTGAGCTACAGGGAGGCTGTAAATTGCTCACCAAGGGCCTGATCCCGAACTCCCTGCAGAGATATCAGAGTCACGGGGAGTTTTCTGTGAGTAGGAAGTGGAGGAATGAGCTTCAAACATTCAGGCCCAGCTCCACATGGGTGGTCTGTTATGCCTGGATGGATTCCCACCGGCTCCAGCCGCGTTCCGAGGTAGTGGAAAGGCTCTTCCCAAACGCACCCCGATGCAGATCCAGCACTCTGAGCGCTTACGAGGGACCCCAGTGAAAAGGCGAAGCCTCAGGCTCACCGAAATTATATTAATCCCACTTCGGAAAACATCGTTGGAAGGGAAAAGCTCCTGGACCACTTTGTAGAATCTTTCAACAGTCTTTGAGAGAAAAGGTGTTTCCATCTGCAGCTGCTCAGAGAGGAGCATCACAGTTTGTTCTGGTTTTTGGGTTGGCAGAGCAGCCGTCGGCTCTGAGGGGG